CAGACGATGCCTGAGTCCCATCTCGCTGTGCCCCAGGTTGCGCTGAAGTGCATTTGTGCATTTCAATCATGTTTGGTGACTGGCTATTACAGTCATGCCCAAAAGTGCTCTTTTTTCCTGCCGGTTCTCTGGCAGCGGTTTGAATAAATATTTTGATGTTGAGTAATGCTGGTCCTGTTGAAAGTGGCTGCGGCTTTTTATTTATGTGCTGCTGGGTTTATAATATTTATGTTTCTGATTATACATGTATGTGCTTTCAAATCAAATGCCAGTGCCTTTGGAAGTACGACTGTAAATGAAAGCTTTTGTTTTAACTGTCTTTCATAGTAATTGCTCTGTTATTGCGCTAGTGCAGCCATTTTCAAACTCTGTGAAGTTAGAGCTCCCTGCTGTATATTAAATTGTCTGACAGATTCCGTGGTGAATACAAGTCATCTGTGAGTTACTCTAGTAATGGCAGGAGAATGTGTTACCTGTTTTCTACTGGGGGGTATGGTTGGGAGATATACTGGCAGTTTTAGGTTTTTGTTTAAAATTTTTTTGACCGGCGTATGTATAAAAGGACACTCACTGTGGTTTACTGCTGTGAGCTGTCGTCATGTTCTCTTTGAATGTGTGCTGGAGGCTTACAATGTCTCTCTAAGACGCTCTTGTGTACTAAAGCCATTTATTTTACTGATTCTGGTCGAGGGCTGAAAGGCAAATATCTGACTGCTTCTGCCACTAATTGCCCTCTGTTAATAAAGGAAGAGCAGCTTAGGATCATTAGCTGTTAGACACAGTTATTCAGCGCATGTTTCTTGTTGGTTGGTATTGGCAGAGAGCTTTAATGGATGGACTGAAGAGATCTGTATGAAATGAAGAGCTATGACTTCAAAAGCGCTGCTTGGGCCTGACAAAGGATACCTTAAATTGATTTACAAAGCCAATTAATATGCTTAATTACCAGCTTCTGCCTTTGAAATATATCCTCTCTCCTGCCTTTTATTTCACATTAATAATCTTTTAGGAGCATTATAATTATTTTAAATTAGACCTTCAAATGAACATTTACACAAATAACCTTAAACCTATTCCTACCATTTCATCTTTGGTTTTGCACCATTTTTGATGTATCCAGTGTACCCCACCTATACTGTGTTCCATTTTAAAAATAATATTTTCACTTTATTTATAAGACAGATTTGTGTCCATTTGAATGTGTTATTGCAGAATTTTCATATGCAGAGATGTCACCTTTGGGATTTCCCCTGGTATATCCGGTATAGCTGGTAGACTTAATATCAACAAAATAAATTGGTGGGTGCTCCCATGACATTAAAGCATTTTCAAAAAAAAAAGTCATGATGAGTCATCCTAAATGTTTTTTCAAGTACGTAGGGAATTTTTTCTGATATGTAATAAAATAGTCTCTGGCTTTGAAGCCAGGAAACGCAGACTAAATGCAGTCGCCAAAGCCTTCGAAGAAGATCTCTCATGTCATCTCTCTTGTGATCAGACAAAGGAACGGCATTCATTTTTCCTCTAGCTCCTGAGCCAGCAGAATACCGCAGGCTGTCTTATGAATTTTATTGATTTGTACAGTATCCAGGAAGTTTATTTTATTCCCTGTCGTCCTTTTTTCTTTATTAGGGAGGCCCACATGCTCCCTGTCTCACAGACATGTGTACAGCTGTAATAGACCCTGTAGGTGACAATAATAATGAGGTTCTTTGCAGGCAAAGAGAACATGTCAGTAATGGGGCTTGATTTGGTAGTGTGGCGTTAAACAAATTGGGTGACAAGCTGCTTAACCCAAAAGTGTGCTCCTAGTGTCCTTTTCATTAAAAAAGAAATTACTATCCTCTTCAGCTTAACTGATGGCTGCCCCTATTTCCTAGGCTGTGAAAATCCCTTGAAAGGGACTATTTGCAGGAATGAAGAAACCTGTGAAGAAACCTGGTCAGATTAGCAGGCAAATAGTAACTGCCATTTTTTTAGTTATTGTTCGTCTTTATCACAGTAAAGAGTTACCTGTTGAGTTGTATTAAGTTTGTGACTTGGCACAAATAGTATTTACCAGAGTAATGGCCAGCCCTTTATAGACAGTGGTTATGTCCTTTCTCAGATTCCAAAATTAGCGCTTCTCAAAAGCCATTGTCACAACACTAGAGTTCATTGCAGTCATATTGGATGCTACAGGGAACAGAGTGATGCCATGCATACTAGCCACATCTCAGAATTTTGTCCACAAAATGTACAACTTTATTTAAGAAAACATAGCTGGTTGGTTGTATATCCTAAGAGTTTAAAAATCTGTTTGTTATGGTCATTTACTTGATGCTTCTTAAGTACATGAACTAAACCCTTAATCTGGGTGTTATTTTTGAACATTTTTCCACTCCATTCCACTTTTCACTTTCTCTGCCATAGTCCTACATGAGTTCAGAGTTTACTTGGATGATTATTTTTGAGTAATCATTTCATGGACTAGAAAGAAAACGCAGTATCCAAACTTTGGGTTTCTTGGCGGTTCTCTCTTTCTGTCAGACACATTGCCTTTTGGGCGTGTATGTGTGTGTGTGTGTGTTGGCTTTGGGCATGCAAGCAAAAATGAGCTGGCCTTGGTGAGAGTGTGTTCCTCTGTGTTTCCCACAGACGTGGCGGTGTGGAAGGGAGGCGTTTGAATGCCACCTCTGTACAGTGAGTAATTTGATTTTGGCTTCACAATAGAACAGTGGCACCTTGGGTTCGCCCATCACTGGAGAAACAAAGAGGACCCATGTCGTCAGTGGGCGGAGGAGTGCGCTGTGTGCAGAGACTTTAGGCTCTGGCTCTGACTCCATCTGCCAGGGAGAATGGACGTGCTGCGGTGGTCTTGGAGGAACATGCCTCTTCTCCGTCTGTTTCCCTGGGGGGGATTCAGTCAAGTTGTTGTTGCAGTCTCTCAGCCCCAGCAGTGCAGAGCACACAAGACAGGCCGGTAGTAGCCAACATCACCCAAGGCACCCGGCCTCAGTTAAATGTATTGATTGGACCAGTGATTGAGGAATCGATTTCAACTTGGAGGGTCCTTTCTTTGAGTCCTTTGGCCTACTGTTGGTATGAAACGTAAAGCTCAACTTGATGGGTTTCTTGGATACACTAAACCTCCTGGGTTGTAGCATGCGGAGGTGTCGCAACAGTCCAGTGGAGTAGACCTGTTCGGTAGATATCATTTGCTAGGGGCTTCCCCAATTGTGCAATAGTAATGAAAAAAAAGTATGAACGTTTTTTTTTTTTCCCGTGGTCGTCACTATGGCTGCTATTGCTAATAAATCTCTGGGGTTACTGTAAACGGTCTCAGGCAGACTCTCGGGAAACTAGCAGTAGTTACCGTGGCAACAAGTCACTAATACCAAGGCCAACTTCACCCACGTAACCCCTGGTGTAGAACCTCATCAACCGAACTGCTTCATTTATTACAGTGTGTGACAGCACTGATTAAAGGGAGGGAGCTCTCTCTGTTGCCTGTCTCTCTTCCCACCAGCTCTTTCTCTCTCTCTCTATCTCTCTATTTCTGTGTCTCTCCTCGGTTCCAACTTGCTGTGATTGTTCTACCTGCTGATAATCTGTGCCTTCTTCAGTTTACCCCAAAGAGCTCTGATGTGGCATGGGAAAAGAGGGAAAGTGGATATAACATTATATCACATCCTGTTCATTTAATTGCAAGGAATATTGACTTTTTCAGACTTAATTGACTAGACTTAGTGTTTGCAACAGAAACTGTCAGCATTCATAAAAAGAACAGCTGTCATTTTTTCCTGAAGGATGATGATTTGATAGACTTTGTTTTACTTGGAAAGCTTTTTTAAGCTTTGCTGGACTGGAGTTTTAGTCAAGTTAGACTATTGCAACATGTTCGGTAGAAGCTAATGAGACAATAGTAGTATATATTGGGTATTCTAATACTTTGGCTGAGTGGGGGGGTTAACTCATGCTTCTCTGAAGCTGCAGGTTTTTTCTACTTTCAAAGCTACGTTAGAAGTGGCAATGGCCATGTGTCACATTGTTGTGGGGTGGGGGTTCAGACCCGGGCCTGGAGCATCGGCCTGTATGTGAGGGAAAAGCATCTTATTTTGATCTGTAATCAGTCTTCTCCACTAGCACATATGCTAATTTGCCTGTTCTGTGAATCTGTAATTTCTGTTTATCCTTGGGGAGAGGACAGATAACTAAGCTTTATTTCCCAAGGCAACCGGTATTAATGTTTCCATAAATTAGTGGCCCCTGTTTGCCTCTGAGTTTAGGCATGCTCGTGATTCAGATCTCAAACAGATGCGGCAAACAAAGGAAGAAGAGCACTGGGTGAAAATGGTGCCATTTTTGTACATCATAGTTGTACCTAATTCATTTTACCCTAATTCATCTTGATGCTTCTCTCATTGGTAGTCTTCACCTCATTTGACTAAATGTTCTAGCTTTTCCAGGTGCATTCATCCAGTGCACCTGCTCCGTTAAAATAATATAAAACAGAACTGCAGGTGGACGTGACATGAACCATCTTCTCCTGCCTGTCTCAGAGTGATGTATCTCCCACACGTCAGGAACGGAATCTCCCCAGCTATTTCCAGAGGCCCAGTAAATATCGACTGGGTCCGGGTTGACGATGTGAAGTGGGTTCCCGCCAGCCTGATTTATTCTCCAGCGCTGGCAATAAACAAAGGAGGTGTAATTGAAAAACGAAGTGGCCATCGATTCCTCGGCCCTGGCATTTTGAGGAGCACCCCCCTACCCCTCCTGATCTGCAGGTGAACTTCAGATGAAGGATTTTTTCCTGTTGGCCTTGTGAAGTTTGTCCCTGGGGTGTGGTATTTCCCAGCACAGTGGGGTGCAGGGAGGTCTGCTGGCATGGGGCGGACTTCCTCATGTGGGCAGCAGAGTGTCTGGGAAGGTGTAACAGCGGTGCTATGGCACATGGGGAAGAGACATGCCAAGCTCATAAAGAAGGCTTCAGGAAGCAAAGACCAGCACTGTGAAACAGCAGTGTAGCATAGTGGTAAGGAGCATGGCTTGTAACCAACAGGTTGCTGGTTCGATTCCTTGCTGGGTCACTGTTGCTGTACCTTTGGGCAAGGTACTTAACCCAGAATTGCCTCAATGAATATCCAGCTGTATAAATGGATAACATGTAAAAACCTGTAACCTATGTAAGTCAGCCAGGATAAGAGCATCTGCTAAATGACAATAATGTAATGTAAAACCACACTGTTAAATACTTTCTTCCTCTGGCTCTGTTTTCATTTCAAAATTCAGTTTTACAGGTATGAACATTAGTTTGCAAAGGGAGTCATTTTAAGACACCTTGGTTCGTAATTAGAAATATCTCAGATTTTCCAAGACAGGAAGCTGTCTGTCTGTGACCTTTCACAAATCTGTTTAATAACTGTGCTGGCAACACAAGAAATTATGCATCTCTTTTTTTAATATTTATGTAATTAATTGATTTTAACACATTTTACTGACACTATGACTGTTCAGAAAAGAAACAAATATTATCACCAGTATGGCTCATAATATGTTGGAAATTGCCATTTGAATTGACTAGCTGCAATTAAACGAAATTTTTTTTTTTTTTCAACTGCCCCCAGTAAGTACAAAGCCCACAGTTTTACATCTTGTGTGAGACTTGTGCAGATGAGTTTTTGTTTGAGCAGTTCAGGCAGAACCCCTCACTCAAAGATGAAGTAGTGGCCTGGCTGGCAGTCAAACCCCGCAGCTCCAAGCGCAAAACCTTTATTGTCCAAAACTATTAATCAACCGTTTGTCTTACTTAAAACTTTTAATATGACATTAGAGACTTGCAGCATCAGAGTGGATCACGAAGCCCTGCTACGATGCAGTCGCGGTGCTGTCGTAGGCTGTCTGTGCTGTGCTGCGCTGAGACATTTGGACTCACTTACTTCAAAAAGGGTCTTATTCTAGATCCAGCTGAGGAGAGTCACAGTAAAACAGGGGCGCTGTATTAAAGAGCGAGACAAATCTTTGAAGACGGGGGCTCTTTGCAGCACGTAATCAAGGCTGGTCTTGTGCCAGCTTGCTGTGCATCAGGGGTGTCTGATCAGCCAGTCTGTTTGTTTGGAAGTGACAGTTTTGCTTCAAGGCTTGATTCCCCACAACCCCCCAAAAAAAAAGAAAATCATGCCTTTGTCACTTGCTCTTTTTTCACAAAGAGTACATTTTAAGTTAGACCCTCCTGGAGCGAGCTGTTTTATTTATGCAACAGTATGTGAGTGAGGGAATGTCATATCTGCAGGGTGATTCCAGGGTTTGCTATGAGAAATTAGATTGTAGATTCACAGTCTCAATTGCCTTTAATACATTCATTTTAGTGATGTAGTAAACACATCAGTGTCGCGACTGGATTATCACTCTTTGGTAAAGGCAGTTTGGTGCATCAATTTCCGTGCTGGCTTTAGCACAATCGGTTAACCCCCACTGAGATACAAAGAGAATGTTGTCATACAAAAACGCATTTTGGAATTCTGAAACACACCAATTGGCAGTTGCGCTGTCTTCTAAACAGGCTTAATCTGTTTGCCTCATTTTATTTAGGTTTTTATCCAAAGCCTGCGTTGCTAGGGAACCCGATGTGGTGCTTCCCCAGTGTTTAAATGACCCAGTCGTACCTCCTCCAGTCGGCTCTTGTCATGCTGTTTACTCTGCTGGACCATCGTGGTTCTGTGTGCTGCAGGCTATGCAGCGCTGACACTCAGTGCTGTGAAACTTGCGTGCTGTGCATTCCCTGTGGCCTGCTAAAAAATACATGCATCAATTCCTTAAACATAAATTGGCATAAGGAGCTGGTCTCGTAGGGCCTGTAACAATAAGGTTGCACGTTGCTGCCTTGTAGTAAGACGCTGCTTAACCCTTGTTAGTTGCATGAGCTGATATCCAGCCATAAAGATGGATCATATGCAAATGTAAGCCATGTGAAATTCCTCAGATAAAGACATCTGCCAAGCAAATAAATAATGTAATGATGAATAAATTAAAATAAAAAAAAAAAAAAAAAAGCGCATTAGAAAACTTCTACTACTGAGGATGTGTCAGCTAGAAGAGGAGGTTGCCATGGCAACATGGGCACTGGGCCTGCCTGGAACTCTTGGTGGTGTTTTCTGTGGATCAGCAGTAAACTCACAGGCACTGTGAGCGATCCCAGCCTTTTCAACCCTCACAGAAACCACAGGAAAGCAGTGCGGCCGTAGAAACTGGCTGAGGCTGTTATATAACAATCAGCTGCCTCTCAATAGTTTAAACAACCAAGTGCGGCCAATATAATATAGCCCCTAACCTCTAACTATGGCAATATTCATATGAGGACCAATTGAAGATTTTTTTTCTCCTTGTAAAGTTTCTGGCTTGTGTTTGCACAAGATGGGAATAAGGATACAATCTGGCCCCAGAACAGACAGCACTTGCGTTGAGCGCTCAGGATTTTTTGCTACATTACAGAGTGCGCTGGAGTTCTCTAAGGAAAAGCACTCAGAAGAAACTACCTGGTTGCTTGGCAACAGTCGAGTGCAAACCTCACTCTCTACTAAGGAGAGCGTAGCCCAGTCATGTTGTGTGCACAGGATTTGCCCAGTCAATACGATTCATAATTTATCCGTGAAACACAGGGGTGAGATTGTGTGCGTGCGTGTGTGTGTGTGTGTGTGTGTGTGTGGGGTGAAAAAGGGATCAGGGGGATGGGGGTTGGTTAACGACGGCTGCCTTTTTTTTAAAACCCTGTGCTCTTGTGCACTGGGTGAAGCTAAATCTATTGATTAGAGTTGCTGAAGAATTCCCTTCAGCCCACACTCCCTGGGTACACGGATCAAAGCATCGGTGGTCTGCCAAACAAACACTGAGATATGGATATGCTGAAAAACAAGGGGTCTGAGCGCTGGATAATCAAAAAGCGTTTCTCCTTGGATAGTTAAAAAAACAAGTTCTGTCCCCAAATGTTGCAGTGAATGTTGGATAGAAGATTTCCAAGCACGGGGAGGGGCTTGCAATCAGTGTAATTGGACCATATGTATAATTAGGTTGAAATTCCTGCATCTGTTCTGTGACATCTGAGTGTGGTGAATGTGTTCTCATCATATTTACCGGGGTGCCTTTTGTTATGCGCTTGCAATTCAAATGTGTGTTTAAAAAGCGCACATCGGCACAGTGGTTTTCATTTGAAATAAACTGTCATTGTTTGCGACACAGGGTACGCCCTCTCCACCGAGGCTGGCAAAGTGTTATATCCATCTTTCATTCTCGGAGGTTGCGTTTCCAGCCAACTTAATGTTTGCTGTTCCCTAATTATGTGTTATCTTCTTACTGCAGTATAAGGCAGCAGTGGCCATCCTCTGCTTTCATTTTTTTTAACTTCATGGAGGTGAATTTGTGTGGCAGTGCTTTTATCCCCCCTGAGAGGGACACAGTCACAGATAACTGCCTCCATCACTGATTCTAATGTTTTAATACCCGAATCATGCTTAATTCGGCATTTAAAGCCACATTAGCCAACGTCAAGCTAACAACGGGATGAAAAATAGCCCGTTAGAAAGCCATTACTCTCCACCTTCTGTTTAATGGATCGTTATTATCATCGAGTAGAACAGCTTTAATTGGCCAGTTCATCCCACTGTGGTCCCCCTATTGTCAGATGGAAGGGTTTTGAAATCGCTGACACAAAGAGTCAAATGCGGTCTCTTGTGGGAAATGGTATATTTTAACTCAAGTATCCTCCATTGTTTTGATTAAATCACTACTTTACCTTTCGTATTCTTATTGGCTAATCTGTAAAGAAGTGATGGGAGAACTGTCCTTATTCCTACATTGTGCTCCACAGATAATGCTTCAGTGGCTGTTACACGGCGCATATCAGCTCATCTGATGAGCTACTTACCTTCTCTGCTCTCAGTTTGTTCTGTACTGGTCATGTCCCATAAATCGGTCCGATGGAGAACAATCAAGGTCTCTAACCGTTGCGTTTCTGCCCGTGTCAGCTAAAGCCTCATTCTCAGTGCTCTGTGCTGAGGGTTGAGAGAAATGTCATGTTGTTTTCCGCCTCCATGCAGGAATTGATTGCTGGTGCCGTGGACATCCTTCCTTAGAAGCAGTTCCATCTCTGAAAGTCATATGCACAGACACGTTTTATACGTAGGAAAATACCCTGTGAGTAACCTTCATGTGAGGAAAGGCATGTTCTATGACTGATGCCAGTGTTCTGTTAATTACACACACACATACATGTGTACACATACGTACATATATGATATACAGGATGAAACAGAAGTTATTATACACTTGTGTACTTTTAATAATACAAAGAAAAGTGAAAGGTAATAAAATCAAATAAGGCATTATTCTCAATTATTGAAATGAACTGAACACATTTTTAAGTTGTTCTTTGGCTTACATAAAACTTTCTGCAAGGGGGAAGGTATTTAACTGTGAGCAACTATAGAGTGACTATATACTTTTCAGAATCATCCCTTTGATATAGAAAAGAATAGGATAAGTCATGTTTGTCAGGGATATGTGGGTTTCAAGTACAAATGGACTTGATGATTCAGAAATAGAAACGTTCAGAAATAGAACTCACATTTCCTGTGAGGGGGAATGCTTAATCTAACTCGTGTTCTTCAACATTTTAAGGGCTGCAGAACTAATGGGGCTGTATTGTATTGCATGTGGAGCTATTTAGAGGTTACAGCAGGAAACTTTTAGAGATCGTATTTGGATCAGGTTGTACTAATCAATATGCCCCTCTGCTGTGAGGTATCTATAGTGCTGCGCTGCTGTGTTGTACACTGTGGTCGTGCTTTCTCAGCTGTGATTGGGATGGCAAATACTCTGTCTACCAAGTTACAGGTTAATGGGTCATGTCCCATACCTATGCAGCTCTGTGTTTGGCTATGCTGTGATGTCAAATAATGACGTAATAATGCTGCTTTTGGCTATGCTGTGTTGTCGTGCTGTGATGAAATAATGTTCTATGTCTGGCTACACTTAACTCTGCTCAGTTGTGTTTTTGTGCTGTGCAGTGTAGTGTTGACTGGTATGATTACCAGCCTTATGC